AGGGTTGGGAAGGCAGGGCACATTAGGCTCTCAAATGTTCACAGGATACACTGAAGCCAAGATTTTGGGGAAGGAGGTACACAGCAGGCGCCCGATAACTGCTCCCTATGTAGATCAAGGAAGCCTGGGGCGGGGGCGGTAAGAGCGGGGAGCACAGGAAGCGCCCAGCATAAAAATGTAGAGAAAAAGGGTTTGGGCGAGGGGGTCAGGTGCCAGGCACACAAGTGGTGCTCGATAACTAACTGCTCGTCCCAAAACCATCCGGGGACCCAGGCCCGCGGGGAGACTTCGGGGCAGTGGCTTACCAGTCGGTGTGGGGCTCATCGATGACCAGCAGCACCCTGACAGCGGCGCCCCCACGGCCTGCGCCCCCAGAGCCGCCGCCCACCTGCTCACTGAAGGTGGCGGCCGCAGCCGCAGTGGTCTGCTTGACCGCGTTGGACAGCGACGAGAAGAAGCCACCGCCCCCCGAGGACCCCGGGCTAGGGGCGGCCGGAGAGGCCACAGGGGCAGCCGCGGAAGCCCTCTCAGCAGTGGCGGTCGCGGGACCGGGCGTGGCTCCGGGACTGGGGGCAGCAGGTGGTGGTGGGGGCGGCTGCGGGCGCTGCAGGTCTGTCATGTACCCATTTGGCAGATTGGCCATGAAGTTGCTGTCCGACAGGCGGCGCCGCAGGTAGTTCATGGCTGCGGCGCGGGGCAGGGGGTCTTAGGAGCAGTCGGATCAGGAGCCGTGGGGGCGGACCGCTCGGGGCCCAGGAGCACAGCTGCGCTCTCAGGCACGACGCGACTCTTCCGCTGCCCGCTGCAGACTGAGGCTTCGCTGAGTCGCCGCCGCCGCAGCGCGGATGGTCGCGCCCGTGCCCCCCTATCTTGTGCCCCGCATGGTGCAGTCTGGCTGGGCCGGCGGCAGCGTGGACGCGACCAAGGCGACGGGGAAGGGGAGTTTGCGGAGGAAAGGCGAGTGACGTCAGCGCGCCTTCAGTGTTGGGGCGGCGGTGGCGCGCGCCGGCGGGCGGGGGCGAAGGCGCTGTCCGCGGTGCTGAAGGAGGCAGTGCGCAAGCGCCACGCCGCATCCTGTTCCCTTCCCCCCTCCCCGATTGGGGATGCGCAATTTGGGGAGTGGGGGTGGGGTGGGTGCTTGTCCGAAGGGTCGAAGTGGGTGGTCAGGAAAGCTCCCCACCCTGCTTCATCCTGGTCTTCAAAGCCAATCTCACCCACACGCAGGACCCTCTGCAGATACTCTCCAGTTTTGATATTCACTACAAAAGGCATGTGGGGGCTGGGAATGGAAGCACACTCGGAGACACAAAAGTAGAGAAATAACCCCATCACGGTGAGGGGTTGTGGTCACATGCAGTATCTCGCGGGAAGATCAGTTTCCCACATCCACACAGGCTCAGCAAGGTAGAGAGGCCTTTGGTAGTGGCATAGACAGCATCAGACAGACAGAGGTGGACACTTGGGTGGGGTATATGCCCTTGCCCTCAGAGGCTGGAGACGCACAGGAAATGACACACACGGAGATTCATATAGGTACACACAAAAGTAAGGAAACACACGAGGCATGTACAGACAGAGATCACACACCAACCTAGGTATCTATATACGCACAGCCCAGGGTAACACACATGGACATGCATGCATATATGCAGGTGTATATGCCTACATGTATACAGGCACCACACCAAAACACAGAACTCACATGAGTATGCACACACAGACAAAATATATACCCGTAGATAATGACAGACAAACCTAGATCAGCCACACAGACACATTCCCTGAAGCTCTAGCCCTGATGTGTGTCCATCTATCCCCCTCTACACACACACTCGTTTCATACACTCTCATCCATCTGCCTTGGACACAGCCCAAATCAGTGATAACATCCTGGTATTATCAGCCCATAGCTGTCTCCTCCTGCACCAGAGAACTTTCCACAGACAGAAGCAGACCCATCCTAGGGTATGCGCATAGTAGGTGCCAAATAATGTTTGCCATATGAGCAAATGACCTTTATAGTTTGGGCAGAGGTGGGCTGTGAAAGCCATTCTGTCAGCTCCTATAAAATCCTGAGTACAATGAAAGCACAAATCCATTTAAAAATAATCACTTGTTGACTGATTGTACCCAATGTTTAACTGAGCTGTTTACATGTACTGTCTCCTCTAATCTTCACAATACTATGGGTGGGTAATATCATTTCCGTTTTATAGATGAAGGAACTTGAGAATTCCAATTCATTCCCAAAGAGTCATATTCATTTTGTGATCCATGCATTTTTTTTTTCTTTTAAGATTGTGCCAGAAAGAAGTGTCAGTGTGGCTGGAGCAAATTGAGAGAGGGGGATTGTGGCAGGAGATGGTGTCAGAGAGGTTAGCAGAGACTGGGTTGAGCAGACCCTTGTGGACCATAGTGAATGATGATGGTGGACCAACTGAAGTGTAAGAAGATATGGCAAGTAATTAGATTTAGAGTCTCTTCTGCCTGCAGGATTTTCAGGTGAATTATCCACTTATTCCTGTGTTCATTCTTTATTCATTGAATCATTGGCCTGTTTAAACAAGGTAGTAATGGTGTGAGGTCTGGAGTCAGAGTGCCTGACTTCAAACTAAAAATGATCACCTGACTCATCTCTAAGGGCAGGGGTTGGGGGAGGGATCAGAGAGACACAACTTTTATCTTTGCATGTGCTGTGACTTCTGTCAGGAATGTCCTCTCTCCCTCCTCCCTCTCTCGGATCATCTTTGACCAAAGTCTCCAGGAAGTCCCCTCCCTTGGGATTCAGATTCCATCCCCTTTCCCTAGGCTCCCACGGTGAAGTCAAATACTTCCAAACCATCCTCTACTCCCTCCTCCATCCCAGCCAGCTTCAGTTGCCAGGCCTTTGCTTTGGCCATTCCTACCCTGTCTCTCCTGGATGCCCTTTCTGGCATTCCATATGCCAGTGTTTCTAACATAGGGAACTCCCCATGAATCAGGTATTTCCCAATACTTCGAAGTACATGTTCTCCGATTTTTTGCTCAGCAACTGAAGCAAACAAACTGTGCCAGACCCATGGTGCCCTCTCTGGGGCACAAGAGCAGCTGCAAGTCTATAGATCTTTCTGGCTCCTCAGGAATGTTACCGGACTGCCTCTTCACAGGGGCCCCATTTCCAGGTTCCTAGTACTTGTGGACTCCAGTGTCACTCCCTTTCTCCAGGTGGCTCAACTTCCATAAATTAATTATTTTTTGTAGATTGTTTTTCAGAAGAATGAGGATTCTCCCCAGGAATGTCTCAACTCCTTGAGGCAGAGGTAAGACTCCTCTGTACTGTCTCCACCTTCTCCAGCAGGTGGGGCTCCAAGAATGCTTTCCTTTGTTGTACATTGGTGAGCGACAACTCTGAAACCCACATCCCTGACATGTTTTTAATCAATATGGTACTTCCATTTATAACACACACACATATCCATGTTGCCTTAATGTGCACGCATGCACAAATACCCTTATAATTCACACATTATGGTGCACACACTGTTGTAGCTTCACACTCACTGCACATACACTCAATACATCCTTAATTCTTGCACAGACCCATAAGTCTGCATACCACACAGACACAAAAAATATATGCCTCACAATGCACACAAACTTCCACTTTCTTGCAAACATGTACCTCTCTTGTACCCTGTAGTAGCAACCAGAACCCCTTACTTCGGCTTATTTCTCCCAAGATGACCAAATATTCATCAACTTCATCTTCATCTCAACCCATCAACTGGCCCATCTTACCTAAGGGGAAATCAACTGAGAGAAGTGAGCACCTTGACAGACTCTGGGTGTCACATATCTCCCATCCGAACCCACCCATACAGAGGTACCCCTCTATTCACAGCACTAAATTCTAAACTCTGCTCCTGACATGGTGCTTCAGAAATGTCCAGCCTACTACCTTTTCTATCTGTTTCTCTCTGGGTAAATGGGGATAATAATACTGATCCTTATAATTTTATTGTGGATTCAATGAATTTATGCTATGGAGGCTTGAAAAACTACCAGGCACAGAGCAAGTACTCTCTAATTATTAGCCATTACCATAATTATGATGATTTTTATGGGTTGTCTCATAGCATGGAGCCCAGAATTTATAAGTGCTAAATGAGTAAGCAAACACTAAGAGCAGTCCTGTCTGGGTTTGTTCCCTTCACTGTGAAGACACATATCACTCTGACTTCTCTACTTCTCTATTCTCCATGATGTCCAGGACTATTGCTAATATACGGTAGGCGTTGATAAGTGTTGAATATATATTCAAAGGAAAGTATCACCTACTCTGAGTCTGTTCCCTCGCTCAGATGGCCTCTCCTTCTATCAGCCCTCCTCCAGCCCAGACTTAGTTCTAGTATACAGCAGACGCTAATAAGTTTTGAATGAATGAACAAATGCTGACAGGAATCTGTGTCTGGGCTCTTTCTAGCAGATGCTGACTCTAGTTTCTCTTTGCCTCTGCTCCAGTTTAGATCACCTCATAGGCACTTCTTTGGCCCTCCCTCCCGGAGCTATTTGTCCCTACTAATTGAAGCACTGGTGCTGGGTTGTTAGGAGTGGGTGGGTGCAGGAGCTCGCGCAGTGGGGCGCCCATCCTAGCCTCGCCTCTGCTGCCATTCACCTCGGGATTGACGTGGAATCTGCTGGTGGACAGGCTCTGGCGGGTGGGAACCTACAGATCTTTAGGAGGAGGGGAGACGGATAAGCACACCAGCCAATCAGAAAGTGTATGCCCGGGTGAGTAGCCAAACAGGAAACCCATAATGCAGAGTGGCCCCAGGCATTGCGGGGTGAGGTGGGGTGGGGGTGGGGGGCAGACACTGGGGCTCCAGCAGCGGCGAAGGGACGGATACTTGATTTCACTCCTGCCAAACTGTGGCCACGGTGGAAAATAGTGTTTTCCACAACGAGCTACTGCTACTTTGCCCGTGCTGTGCCCTTTGGCCTAGAAGATGCTATGGCCCCACTCTTAGGGAAGAGGCTGGTTTATTGAGGTCTGGGAGGTCAGAGGGTCACAGTGGAAGAAAGATGTTAGAGCTCCTCATCCTCAGGGTCTTTGCAGTCAGGTACGTGTAGACATGGCCGTTTCTCCTCCACCACTAACTTTTGCCCCTGCAGCGTCTCGCATACCGAGGATGGTTTCCCCCAGAAGGTCACTTTCTTCTCACCCTGACCTTCGACCACGGAGAGAGTAGGCCTGAGGCAGTGGGGGGGGGGGATGGAATGGAGGAGAGAAACTCAGGTAAGGCAAGAATGCATTCGACATTCTCATTGAGTGTCTACTGTGTGTCCAACACTATTTTCAGCTGTGAGGTATTGGGCACTTTCTTTATATTTAAAATGGGAATAATAGAAATAATAATATCCACCTCATGGGGCTGAGTGAGGATAAATTAGTTAATTCAGGTAAAGTGCTCACTAATTGACATGAGCTGCCTTCTCTTAGATCTTTCCCCACTGCCCACTGTGAAAAAAAAAAAAGTTTTGTCCTGGCATTCAAGGCCTTGTTGTTGGGGCCAAATCTCTGCCCCACGGCAATTTCTATCTTTCTCTTCCACTTTAACCACACTCAGTCCCATGCTCAAAATGGTCTTTTCCTGGGTTATTTCTCCCACTGGGCAAGCCCTCCATTCACTCCCTTCCCGATTTTCTCAATAAGCCCTTTCTCCTGTTATTACCTCACTTTGTCAAGTCCTTCATGTCTCCACTCAACACCCCTAACTCATCTTCAGGACCCACTCTAAACTCCACAGGTAGAGACCACTTTCCAGATGGCAGGCTTTCTACAAGATGGGAACAGGCCCCTTAATCTAGTAGCTTGATGTGTGTGGAAATAAGGAAGGGATAGTGAGTGTTTTAACCCTCTCCAACACCTGGGCCACCTTGGCCACCAGGAAATACTTCAGATGGCTGATCACTTGTGCTCAGGACTCTGCTCACAGTCTTTATCCATTCCTGCCAGGAGAGGCCCGATTAGCTTCCTAGACTCAGGTTGAGGTGACAGTCCCTTTTCTACATACCAACCATTCCTCATATGCCTTCTGTCAGGGCCCTGCCAACCTGGATCACTTGGGAGATCCAGGTTGCAACTGTTACTGAAAAGGCCTTAGAGTGCCTGGGGGCAGTGAGACATTGAGTGAGACATCCAGTCACCCATGGAGGCATGGGTGACTGACTGAGTGACTGAACAAACAAATCAAAACATTGGTAACTGAGAGAGCAGAGCAAATGGACACATGAAGGACTGAGTGAATGGGAGAATGGCAGAGTAACTGACTGAGTGACTGTAGGGCACAGAGGCTACTAACTCTCCCCTCAGAATCTTCTTTCTCAGCTTCTTCTTTAGTTTCCCCCATTCCTGCCATTGGGAAATGGCACTTGGCAAAGCAGGCACCTTAGGCCCAATGATGGAAGCCCTGGTTGGAGTAGCTGACTCTCCCACCCTGACTGCTGACAGCAATATCATGACCCCTTCCTAGGCACTCTCTGCCTCCTCACTTACAAGAACTTGGGGAGTGGAGCTGTGCAGAGGCGCTGGCGGGTACGGATGGGGTTGGGTCCACATGGGGGCATGCACAGCCCCCAGGTACTCCACTCTGACCATGAGCCTTTCCCTGCAATGAGAGGAGAGGGTTACTGAGCCAGAATTAGTGGTCTCAGGGGGGCGGTAAGAGGGAGGCTGTAGGGACATGGAGTCCATGGCAGAGTCAGAAAACCCCTGTTCCTACATGGGTTGCCTGCCCTCACAGAATAGTCTGGGGGGCACTCACAGAGACACTTCTGGATGTTGTAGCAGTGCCGGATATCCTGTTGTTGTCCAGCACATCGCTGTCCATCAAACTTGCGTCCCTTGCAACTCCTCGAGCGGATCTGCTGGCCTGGGATCTCCTCACAGCTGATGTTTTTCATCTTTGGGCGAGCACAGGTGCTCCATTCCTCCCATGGCCCCCATTCTCCATTCACTGCAGAGATGGGGAGCAGGGCTCACACCAACGAAGGGAGCCAACAAGGGCATTTGGAAGAAGGAATAAGGGCTGAGGAAGGGAGTGGGGGTGATCAGATGTGGGAATGAGGGATCAGAAGTGGAATCAAGGCATCAGGGCCAGGAATGAGGAATTTGAGGCAAGAACAAGGCATTAAGCAGTAGGCACTAGGCAACAGAGATGGGTGAGGGGCTGGGGCATGGAAATGGTACATCTTGAGGTGCTGACCAGGGCAGGGCACAGCTGTGTTGCAGATGTGGATCCGGGTGGCTCCGCCGGCACAGACGGGTCCCCCGTGCTGGGGCACAGGGTGATCACATGTCCGTCGTTCCATGTTCTGGCCAAGGCCACAGGTCACAGGACAGGGGCTCACAGGGCCCCAGGGCCCCCAGCCCCCAGCCACTGTTGAGGGGATAGGAGTGAGGAGAAAAGCCATCTCAGTCTCCCCCGCCTCCAGCCCCTAGACCCTCAAGGCAGACTGACCCCAAAGGAAGAGCTCCATGGTCACATGGCCTAAGATTTCTATCCTTAGAAATGATAGAGCATCTGTGCCCGAATCAAAAGCAGAGTGTCAGAGGCCTCATCCCTGTGTACCTGGGCAGGGTGGCAGGCCACTGCAGCCCCGCTGCTCATAGGCTGGCCCTGGGCACGGCTTCCCAGGAGGATTCGTGGAGGGCTCAGGTGCAGAACACGTGCGGCTTCGTCTCTCCACAGGCGCACTGGGTCCACCATGGCAGGAGCCTGAGCAAGGGCCCCAGGGACCCCAAGCAGCCCAGGCCCCGTGTACTATGATGGGATGGGATGAAGGGAAACCAAGTGTAGTCATGTGTGAAGTCCTTCCACCCTGGCAGTTCCCTGTTGCAACCCTCCAGATCCACCCTGGGTGCCTGCGTCAGTGCCCTGTGGTTGCCCTCACTCACTGGGGCAGACCTGCATTGTATAGCAGGCCTCTGACTCCTGTGCCTCTCCTGGGCAGCGGCCTCCACACTTGGGGGTAGGGTGATCACATGTTCGACGACGGGTCCGGGTCCCTGCGGAGCAGGTGACAGAGCAAGGTGTCCAGGGCCCCCAGTTGGACCAGCCGCCTATCTCTGTGGAAGAGAAATGAGGGGGAGAGGATGGAGGTGAGAGTGTTATTCAGGGGTCCTCACTTCTTCATGTACCGCACATCAACTACTCCTGTCCCTACATCCTCTGTCATACTTGGTCTACTATCATTGCTCATCTGGACTATTGCAGTAACCTTCACACTGGTCCCTCTGCTTCACTCCTTACCACATAGTTTGTTCTTCTCCTGACAGTGAGGATGTCACAACCCAAGTCAGATCACTTTTCTCCTCCACCCACACCCCATATCGCTCAGAAAAAAAGCCAACATCCTCACTGTGGTCCACAAGGATCAGGACCCCTCTGACCTCACCTCTCACCACTATCCTCCAGCCACACTTGCCTCTTCCTTAGAGCCTCATAAATATCAGGCACAGTCCCACCCTGAGGCCTCTGTCCCTATTGTTCCCAGTGCCAGATAGCAGGCAATGCACTTCCGCCTTGGCGATCCTCCTCACCAGGACAGCACGGCCGGTCCTCACAGGCCTGCAGCTGCCACTCGAGGGTCCCAGTCTCCACCTTCTCTGAGCACTGCCCACCCCAGCCTACACAGCGTCGGTGCCGCAGCTGGGAGCCCTCAGTGCAGGTCACTGAGCAGGGGGTCCACTTGGACCACGGTGACCATTGTGGGGACCTGTAGAGAGGAACACATGTCCAGTCCTTGCATGAGCTGGCAAGGATGGTGTACGGGACTGCAAAGCACGAGCAGTTACAGGCTGAGGTGTGGGATAAATATGTGTGGAATGGATTGAAGAGAGTACCTACCCCTTAGGGGTGTTAGGGGACTAAATGGGAAGAGGTGGACACACAGTAAATACTTAATAAATATCATTTACTTCCATGATCAGGGACCTGGAGCTATCCTTTGAAGTCCCCCAAGGACAATGCAGCCATGCAGTAAGCAAATGTAAGGACTAGGGGCCCAGAACTGTTGTTGGGCCACTGCCATGCAAATAGGAAGTGCTTAATAAATAGGAGCCATCATCCCAATGAGCTCAGAGACCCCATCAGAAATACCCCAGATCTATCCCCACCCCCCATACAGCATCATGCTAAATAGATGTGAACTGTTGACATGACTAGGGGCCCAGAGCTGCCTTCAAAAAATCTCCAAGTTCCCTATCCCCATGGTGTATCTGGGATATACAGTAAGCAATTAGAAAATATGTTTGGCATACAGTAAATGCTCAATTCATGTAAGCTGGCATCATGATTAGGAGACTAGAGCTACCTTCATAAATTCTCCAGCTGCCCCCAACCTCTGCCATGCACCCGGTATGCTGAAGTGCTCAATGGATATGAAGTGTCATCGTAATTAGGGGCCCGGAATTCCCCAAACTCTCCTACTTCCACAGTGTGTCTGTATACAGTAAGCACTCAATATGACCTGTCATCACAATTAGGGGATGTGAGCCACCTTCAGAAATACCTGAGCTGCACCCCACCCACAATGCTTCCCACAGTGCTCAATATATGTAAGCTATGGCAGTGGTTCTCAACCAGGGATGATTCTGTACCCCAGGGGACATTTGGCAATATCTGGAGACATTCTGTTTGCCGCAACTGGTGCAAGGAGTTGCTACTAGCATCTAGTGGGAGGCCGGGAATGCTAAAAAAAACACCCTGCAATGCACAAATAAGCCCCCACAGTAATAATTTTCTGGCTCCAAATGTCAATAGTGCTGAGGCTGAAAAACCCTGAGCTATGGTCATGATCAGGGCCTTGGAGCCACCCTTGGGAATCCCAGAGAAGGAAAGAGTCCAGTTCTGGGTTGCCCCACAATCTTTTCTGCCTCCCCCTAACCCAAGGCTCCCCCTAACCTGCATGCCTGACAAAGCTTGCTACCAGGCTCCTGAAAGGCATAGGCAGTGTTGAGACAGCAGTCTTCCACACGGACACCTTCCCCCAGAAGGCTTTTGCACTTGCCCAAGGATTCCTCATACTGGGTAAAGCAGAGTACGGGGTCTGAGCCTGTAACAGGGTAGGGAAGTGGGGCACAGTCAGGGTTGTGGTGGGGCCAGGCACCCCTGGGGGCCAGCTGGGCCTCACCTACTCACCTGTGGCTGGCAGGGTGAGCAGCAGTTGTAGTGGCAGCAGCAGCAACCAAGAAGCCTGTGTTAGAGCGGGCATGTTGAGCACTGCACCCCTGCAGCACCGCCTGAGAGGAGGCCTGGCTTTATGAGCTGAACTGCTCTGGGAGTCAGTGAGAAAGAGGAACCAAGGGCAGGAGGAACTGGGAGGGCAAAGGGCAGCAGGGAGGAGGGGAGGGCATTTGTCAGGTCTCTTCAGCTCCCACCTCTCCCTTGTCACCTCTGCCTCTGAGCCACCTCCTCTACTCTCCCCTCCTTACTTCCTATCTCACTCTTAGTACCATTTTATCATTATATTCCCAGCACCCCACGCCCCGCCCAGCAACCCTTCAACACTCAATCAATGCTTTGTACACATTCTTACTGAGGGAAAATGGAGCATAGGAGTTTGGAGCAAGACGAACTTCCTAGCTGTGTGATCTTAGAAAAGTGACTTGAACCTGAGGCTCAGTTTCTTCATCTGCAAAACGCATACTCTCTACCATGACAGGGTCAACCTCATGGGCATGTTGAACAAGGGTGAAACAAGTGTGGCATACTCAGTGTGTCTCTCCTTATGGAGTGGAGTGAGCATTAAGGTAATTGCTTCATCTTCCATCCTGACTTAACACACCTTCCTCTTTCCTGAAAGGGAGGTCCCCTGTGGTCAGCATGAGGAAGGGAGGTCAGCACAAGGGAAGTGAGAAGGGGAAGTGACAAGAGAGTGGGGAGGATTCAGGAGTGAATTGGGGATATCCAGTCCTAGGGGCCAGCTGGGGACATATTCAGGGCCTGGGGAGGGGGTGGTTAGGAGGGAATGGGCCTGGTCATCATCATCAGAGTAATTTGGGTAGGTGACATCCCTGAGCCTACATCAGTAGGGTGTGTTGCGAAGATTGGGAGTTAAGATTTTTTAAAGTTCTTAGCACAGTGCCTGTCATATAGTAGATGCTCTGTTAAATGCATATTCAACATTTATTGAGCACCTATTGGATGCTGTTCTCGGCATTGGATAGAGCAAAGAACAAGACAGCCCCAAATCCTGGCCCTCAAGAGCCTTATGGTCTAAAAGAGGAGACAAATAATAAATGTCACCTGTATCACAGAAGCCTTCCACAGCTACCCGTTTTGTATGGCACCCCTGTCAATCTCTAACACAGTGGCTCTCAAACCTTAGTGTGCATCAGAATCATCTGGAAAGTTGGTTAAATCACATATTGCTGGGCCACACCCCTGTTTCTGATTTCTGATTCTGTAGGTTTGGAAGGTGCATTTCTAACAGGCTCCCAGGTGAAAATGATGCTGCTGGTCTGGGGACCACACTCCAAGAAGCATCATTCTAGTCCCTGACCCCACTCTTCCTTTGTAGGTCTCATCTAGAAAAAACTATTCTATATACTCCTTATTTTACTGTTAATAATTAATTCCCCTTCGACCCACTTTCCATACAGGTAAAACTGAGTTCCACAAACCTGCTATTTTTTTTTACAAGCCCTATTGAGTGAAACTCCAGAGCTGCTTTAAAAACAAGAAATCTTTAAAAATAACAATAAGGAGTCTAAGAAAGGTAGGAAGGCAGTGTTATTTCCCTGCATTCACAGAGGGAGAAATACCATTCTGCAAATTAAAACAAAGTAAAAGAATTTGATTTGGTCAGCTGTAATGGTAAAACAGAACTTTCTCAAGAATATTAATCTTGTTTTATGGGAGATAAAGTGTGTTGACATTCAGATATACTGTTTCCTGATAATATAAGCCTGTTTCGGAAAGTGTGCTTTAAACAAAGAGGTCTTGTTAGCATTCTAAGACTTCAGACATCGGTGCTATGTTATCCTGTGAAAACTAACTCAAGAAACCTGTACTTCTGGTTGGCTGCTTTATCTAATCACCCGTTGCCCTGGTAATAATGTTATAACCAATATTTTCTTTGTTCCTAAACTGTATACTCAATAGGAGTTCCCGTGAAAGAGGACTGTCAGTGCTTTCATCTCTTCCACATTTGGGCAATAAAATGATTCTGCAGATTTCTTATTTAAACAGAGAGAGAGTCTTGTCTCATTAATCCTTGTATGATGTATCTGTTTCTTGTCCATTGCCCTCACTCAAATACCAGCTCCACAAAGGCAGGGATTTTTGTCTGGTTTGTTGACCGCTGTGTCTCCAAGGATTAATAAACATCTGTTGAATGCAGAAATAAGTGAAATAAACAAAACTTTAGAGATTCTGTGAGGTGCCAAGAGGAAGAGTCTGGGTTGGAGTTAAGAATGTGGGTGTCATGGGGCAAGGATCAATAGTGTCTCAAGTGCCTGGACTTGACCAGAGATCATGAGAAGAGGGAAGGTAACCCATGCAAAGCCCCAGGGAAGTCCGGCATTTCCAGTTTTGGAGAACTGAGGGGAAATGGAGCATAGGGGCTGAGGAGGGACCTGCAAAGAAAGAAGACAAACAGAAGAGGGCTTTCTCGTAGGCCTGGCACATTTGATTTGTGGCATCTCATGCAGTTTCATTCAGTTTGGATCATTCTATATTTTAAAAACATAGTTACAGTTCTGGATTTACAGCCTTTACTGCAGTCTCTTACAAACAGGCTCACATACATACTCGATCACATAGCCTCTGACATTCTCTGTCACTCAAAGAGCCATTTTCTGTCATAGATTCCCAGTTTTATGACTGTCTCCTAACAATTCACACACAGGATCATGTCTTTATAGCCTGTCTCATTTGGCCAATATTACCAATATTTACTCTCGCCAGTTTTTCACATGCAAACACAGTCAGTCGGTCGGTCGGTCGGTCGGTCGGTCAGTCAGTCAGTCAGTCAGACTTTCTGATGTTTCAACCACTCAGGCCATCATTCTCACAGTCGCTGATTTACAACTACACTAACTTCTCATGAAGTTTCTTGTACACACATAAAATCACCTTTTCTCCTACCTTTTCACACTCAAGCCCTCATTTCACATACCTGCAGTCTGATTACAGCTGTTTCATATGCATACACAATCACACAGTATCTCATACATTGTCTTAGTCATCTAGTCCTACATTTCTTAAGCAGCTTCCAACCAGTCCTTGATTTACAGCCTTTAATAGTCTCTTGCAAAGAGTTTTACACATACCCAGTTTCTCAGACAGGCTTAGTCACCTGTTCAGTGTGATCATCACTCTCCCTGTTTCTGAGAAAATCACAATTGCTACTAGGCTCTCAGTCAGTCTTATACACCCAATCTCTCATGGCCTGTCTTAACTGCTTACACCATCATTTTCTTCATACAGTCAGCTTACCATGTGCACTCAAATACAATTACAGCTTCTCCAGTTTCTCACACACATCACATGGTCTCAGTCTCATATTCTAAGTTTTTCACAAACATGTAGTCTGATTTAGTCTCTTATGAAATGTTTTGCAGACCCACACTCTTACATACTGCTCAGTTGTCAAGTTTTTTACACAGCCCTGACTTCATTACTGTTACTTATTGTCTTTTACTCAGGTATGTGGTCTCTTACACAGTTTTAGTCTCTCAGTTTCACCATCAGTTTCAGTACCTGAACCTGTGGGGCTAGACTGGAGTAGTACCTGTAAATCAATTCGCCACTAGTCTCAGGTACACACACACACAAGTTACAGCCTCATACTCTCCCAGCACAGCCAATTTTTTCTCGGTTTCTGTCTTTGCTAGTCTCACATGGACAGTTTTCATACACACAATTATGCATTCTTGTATCTTGTGTCTCAGGCACTCATTGGCCTCACAGCCATTTGCTGTCAATTGACTTCTTGCACATGCTCTCATGACTTTAGTTGATATGACAGCCTTGCATAAACAGTTTCACACACAATTTATCTCTCAACACTGAGTCACCTGCTTATATACAGTGAAGTTTCTCACCCACACAGTCCCTGACAAGCTCTATCACACTTTGTTGATCAGTCTATCCTGCTCACAATAGCCTGTCAAACAGTGACTGGTTTGTGGTCCCCACTACCTTCTCATAAACATTACTTCACACACACCACCAGTTTATTGTATAGTACCTTAATTACTCATTCATTCTTACAGCGATGTCCTGATGCAGAGCCACGATTTCTTACAGACGCAATGTCAAATTTGTGGTTAAAACTTCCACTCTCTCACACATGATTTTACACACATACACACACACAACCACAGCTTTCCAGTTTCTTCTTCATACTTGGTTTCCAGTTTCTTCTTCATACTTGGTTACCAATCTGTAGTCTCTACTACTGTTTTTGATACACACCATCATGCTCTCTCATAATCAATCTTATACCCTCACCACCTTTCACACACAGTCATGCCTGTCACATACAACTGGCCCTCACAGCTTCAGGAAAAAAAAATGCTAGCAGCCTCCAGCATCACCTTTAAAAATATATATTTACAGGAACAATTCCCCATTCTCTGGGACTCTTAGAAAAAAAGATCCATTTTGGGGGGAAATAAAACAAACAGTGGAGACAGGTATTGTACTGTCCCCTAAATCACCAACCCCCAGGTCCTCAGGCCTGGGCTGGGCTGGTGCTGAGAGGAGGTGAGCCCAGGAGTCTTTTGAACCCACCCTCTCCAGCCTGGACTTCAGATAGGACAGGCTTTATGTCCCCCATTCCTCCCTCCCAACTCCAGGGACTCTTAAAGGTCCTTTGTACCCGCCCGCAGGAAATTGGGGGGCTGGGAGGGAGGGAGCTGAAAATACACATTTGGTATCAAAAATAAACACTTGGGGGCAGCAGGAAGATTCCCACCCCCCCAAACCCCTTCCTTCCCACCCACCCCACCTCAGATATAGGAAGAGATGTCCCCCTCTCCCCTGTTGAAAAGCCCTGTTTAAAAATAGATTATACTATCAAAATGGCAGGGGGTGGGGGACAGGGAGACCTGGAGTTCTGGCCAGAGGGGCCCCCCAGACGGGGACCACTTCTCCCAAAAATGCTCCAATGGGAGGTAAGAGGCAGGACTCCAAGGAGTTTGGCAGATACAGGCATGGCTTCTCAAGGGGAGTAGAACAAAAGGGGCATTCATCCCTGGCCAAAAAGATAGCTGACAAAGGACAGGCTGTCTGAAAGGCTGGGGTGGGTGGGAATTTCTATCCCAAGGGTGTGAGACTGCCTTGGCCAAGACTTCCAACTGTTAAACAGCACAAATTCTTCCTGGACCCTTGGGGATAGCCAGGAATAAGAAACCACGACAAACTAGCTCTTCTACCCACACCCTAAAATGGAGACAGGGCTCCCTCAGCTCCCCAAAGACAGACTGAGAAATAAATAAAGGTCCTTCTCAAGCCAGACCCTGATTGTCTCATCTTGGGGGAAAAATGTGGAGCTGGGGAAGATATCCTTACCACCCAGGGTTGGGCCAGGCTCCTCCCAGTGGCCTTCAAAAAATAAATAAATAAACCATCCCCAGCACTGTGGTAGGAGACGTGTAAGGGCGGCCACTGGGGGATTGACCAAGAAAAGGGAAGTATGTTTTCTGCGGAAGAGTAATTGAGATCCTTCTTCCTAAGAATCCCCACCCAACGATGACAAGAGCACGTGTCTGTCAGTTAAACTATGTTTCTCCTTGAGACAGCTGGCTGGAGAGAAGTTCAGGGCGTGAATGACCCCAGAATGGGGTGGTAGTGGTAGTCATGGCTTCTGGGGCCCTGGGGAGAGCACCACGGGGGTTGAGAGGCCATCCACGCTGATGGAAGGGATGTGCACCTGGGCGCTGCCACTGGATGGAAACTGAGAACAGAAATAGGGAGAGGTTATGAATGGGGGTCATGCTAGTGTCTCTCACCCTCTCCAAGATGGGGGGAGGAGATCCTACCTGGAAGGAGAGCTTGGCAGGGCTACGGGGTGCAATGGGACTCAGGGTGCTCCAAAAGTGAATGCTGGGGGGCAGCGAGCTGGGCGTCAGCAGCACCGGAGTCTGTGAGGAAGGGATGGTCAGAGCTCAAGTGAGCAGAGGGCAGGTGTGGGAAAACAGAAGAAACTTGGTTCCAGTCCCACCAGATTTCCCAGGTCACTCCCTGAAAGTACATAGGCCTAGACCATAACTACTAAGGCCATGCCGGTGACATCTCCCCAACTTTACATGGACAACCTCTCCCAACTCCTGTGAAGACACCCCAGCCTCATTGCGCAAGATCACCTACAAGACCCCACCCACAAACTTCACAAGTTATAAAACCAATAGCTCAGGGTCAACCTCTAACTCTTGCATTCCACCCCTATAACTCACAGGAAACCCGCTAAACCAATGCCAGACCAAAAAGCCTTGCTCAGGTTACTCATGCCATGTGCCAACCCAGAAACAGTTCTCACACAGGGCCTCTCAGTAGTTCAGTCTCTATCCACAAAACTCACCAGACTTGCCTTTCATTATGACCACTGATCCCTCGGCCTCCGAGCCTCTCTCGCCATTCATTAATCAAGTCCCACACCTCTAGCCCACCGGAGCCAATTGCACGTGAAGGATGCACCATCCCAGTCACTCAGATAACCTCGGTCCCATCCCTACGCCAATCTCATTCCTCCTGGGAGCCAGCCCCGCCCCTCCACAGGCACTCACCAATGTGTGCGTAGGTAGCAGGGATGGCGTTAACGCTGGCCCCGGTGCCTGCATACTGGAGCCAGTTCCTGATCCTGGAGTCCGTTCGGGCCCTGGCCCACTCAGCAGGCTAGGGCTGAGTGGAAGCTCCAGGTCCCGGGGCTTCCGGCCCTTCTGAGGCTGGGCGATCTCCGTGCTGGAAGCTGTGGAAGCCCCGAGGCCACCCACCGGCACTGCACCCTCCATAACAACTGTGGGCAGCCGGGCCGGCAGGCCCTCCGCAGGAGGGACTTCCGGCTCGGCCTTAACGGCTTCCGGCACAAACCCTGCCTCCCCTCTGGCTGCCGCGTCCAACTCCTCCTTGGGCCCTTCTACTTTCACTTCTGGGGGCAGTGGCCGGCCCAACCCCGGCTCCACCTTCAGCTCTTCTGACTTAGGGTTCGGGGCCTCTGGCGGGGTCAGAATGACCTGGGAGAGGAGGGTGTGTGTAAAGATTGCTGGAGCAGCAGAGCCAATGATTTCTCTTGAAAAGTGGGACTTGGTACTAACTGCACATCAGGGCAGCTCCTCCAACAAGAGTGGGATTAGTCAAAGAAGTAGGGATTATTCTGGGGCAGCTTCTCATATCTGAGGGCAGGCTGCAATTTAGGGGTGGGACAGGACTCCAGGGGATAGCACTCTCAGTCATGAAAGCAGAGGTTCTAAAAAAATTGCTTTACAGACTGCAGCATCTGCCTCATCTGGAAGCTGGTTAAAAATGCAAATTCTTGGGCACATTCCTAGACCCACGTAATCAGAAACTCTGGGGGTGCACCCCAGCAACCTGTGAGTTAAAAAGCCCTCCAGGCGATTCTGGTGAGTGAAGTGAGAGAACCAATACATTAAGCAAATGCATAAGTTCAGGGCACCTACTACAAGTTGGATGTACTATTAATTGTATCCCAATCTCTCCTCAGTTCTAGCATAGTTCACCTCTCCAACCCTTTCTCCAAGGGGACTTTCGTGTCTCTCCTTCCACCGCATATCCTTTAATAAGACATTTATGTCCCATTCCCCTACTTCTCCCCATTTAGTAATTGAACATCCCTCCTGTTATTGAATTTCCATATTCCAGCCCTTACCTGGAGGGGCAGGCCAGCCTCCTCAGTCTCCAGGCAGGCCTCCAAGGGGCTAGGACTGGTGCTCTTGCTCCCTGAGTGAGGCACTGCTGCTCCTGCCGGGGCAGTGTTGGGAAGCACTGAAATGGGCCGTGGCTGCAGGGGTGGCTGTGGCTGCGGCTGCAGGGACTGGATGGTGAAGGTGGAATAGAGGCCCGAGCGCATGTACTCATTCCGGCTGCTTCGCGCCAAGCCACCTGGGCCTGCCATTCCTGCACCCTTGGGTGTGCCTGGCTTCCCAGAGACAGTGTCCCCAGGGACAGCATGTACAGCAGTGGGGGCCATATTTGCCATAGTGGAAGTGATAGACACCTCGGGCTGGGGTGGGCAGTCCTCAGCAGAGCACCCTGCGACCTCAGGATAGGACACAAACTTGTAGACGAACTTCTGGCCACTCACTTTGCGGATGATGTTCTGGGAAGGGAGGAGACAGGATAGGGGGCCTTAGACGAAAGGGCCAGGGTAGAAGGAGGATGTGGATGAGGTGGGGCGGTGGAGGGATGTGTCTCCTAGTATCTTTCTTCCCTCGTGCCCCTCTTCTGTCTTTCTACATATGCACCATCCTGCATCCATGTCTGCCTCCCAGCCCATTTCACATCTTATCCATCTCTCAATTTTTGTGCTCCTCCCTTCTTCAGTTTCTCCCTCTTTCTGCCCCATTCTGATTCCCCTCTGTATTCTTCTCCAGTTTCTCCTTCTCTATTCTCCATTCCACAGTTCTTCCTTTAGTATACTGCCCTTCTCCCCTTTCTCTGTCTCCCCTTCATGTCTGTCCCCAATCTCTCCTCCTCTAAGTCTCTGTCACTTTTCATCTCCACCTGTCTGATTTCCTCACCCTTACCTCAGACACCCACCCCCTGCTGCAGTGGCTTCTCTCTACAATGGGGTCCACCTAGGGGAGTAGGTGTAGGAGCAGGTTTTTCTCCTGGCTTCAGGAACCTGGGTGTCTTGGGTTAACAGGGTCAGGTCTTGGGGGTGGCTGCTAGGACACAGTTTTAGAGTCTAATGTAGTAAGACAGAAAAATGAAGTAACTGATATATAAATGTTGGAAGAGACTAAATTAATGTAGAAGAATATAGAGATAAATTACTAATATAGAGGATTATTTAAAACTATTGACACAGACATGGAACGGGAAAGTCACTACGGTGAGGAGCTGCATTCTTAATATACTTGTGAAGGTTTAAGCTAAGCAAATGAAGTAACTGATAGTAACTAGACAAGAATATTAAAATACTGATATAAATTTCGGGGAGAATCTCAAGGCTGGCTTGAGTGAGGCACAGAGCATGTTTGGGATATTTCAGGTTAGGTCTGGAGGATCTCAGGGATGTTCTGGTGGTCTCAGAGCAGTAAGGCAGTTTCATTATTAATACTGTTTTAGAGGTTTTACCTAAAGGAATAAAATATTAAATGGAATGTATGCTAAAAATGATTAAGGGTATGTAGCATAGCTCCAGGGCTGTTCTGGGGGGCAAAAGGGATTTGCAGGGGCACTAGAATCCTCTAGGGACATCTTAATGCCAGTCAGGTACATCATAGGGTGGGTTTGTGTTTTGCAGAAAAGAAATGAAAAGGATATTAATATTGTTTTGGAAGTTTCAGGTAAAGAAATTAGAAATTTAAATAAATGGTATAAATTTTGGGGGGAGGGAGGGGGAAATCCAGTGCTGGTGTGGGAGTCTAAGAGGATAAGATGAGGAAAATTTAAAATTTTAGCTATAGGAAAAAGGGGATAAAATAAAATGATATAAATATTGGGGTGAACCAGCGTTGCTCTGGGAACTCAAGATGATTGGGTGTGGAGCTGGCATTATCTATGTTGTTTTGGAGGTTTTATCTAAAGGAATAACAGAAAATAACTGATGATGTTGAGGGTCCCAGAGGATAAGATAAGCAAAGGTTAGTATATTATTATCATGGAGGTTTTGATTCTAGAAATAAGAATCTTCTGGAATTCTTATTCTAGAATAAGAGCAGATTATGAAATTACCGTGGGAGTCTAGGACCGGTCCGGGTTCCGGAGGACAAGATGAGGAAGAATCACTATTAATAGCATTTTCAAAAGTTTTGGCTATAGGAATAAGGCAAGAAAATGAAATGTTGTGCAGTGTGGTGGGACAGAATGACTTCGAAAGTTTTAGCAAAAGCAGTAAGAAAAATAACAGATAATGGGGGGGGGGGTGTGGGGGGGGGGAGGACAACATTGGTCTGAGAGTACCAGAAGATGAAGTAAGAACTGGAAAAGTTTAATACTGGTTTCAGTTATAGCTATAGCGATTAAGACAAGAAAACAAAATAACTGACATATATTTTTGAGTTCCCAGACCTGTTCTCAATGGCCTTACCTTATCATAGTAGTACCGCAAAGCCCGGCTGAGCTTGTCGTAATTCATGTTGGTCTTGTTCTTGCGCAGCCCCCACAACCGGGCCACCTCCTCGGCATCCACCAACTTAAACTCACCACCATCCCGTGAAGTCCAGGAGATGATGTGGCCGTTGCCTTGTTCTCTCAGCAGCTGCAGCAGAAACTGCCACAGCGTCACAGAGGGGTCCATCGCTGGGGAAGCGCTCACGCCATCCCAGGGGTACCTGGAGGGCAGATGGCTCAGAGCCAAGAAGCTGTAGACACAGGACAGGATAGCAGTAAGCAGGAAGATTCTTTTCTTGCCATCTTGCCTCTACCTCTGTCTCCAAACCCCATCAGCATTCCTTAAACACCCTCAGACCAAATTCAAAGCTCCTCAGCCTGGATTTGGATGACCCCTGTATTGGGATGAAATTTTGGGGGACATTAGAACAGAGTGAATGAATTTTGCATGTGGGACAAATGTGAATCTTTGAGGGCTAGAGGGCAGACTGTGGTAGGCAGTAATATCTCCCCAAAGATGTCTACATTCTAATCTCGGGAACCTGTGAGTATATTGCTGCATGTCAAAAGGAACTTTGAAGATGAATTTAAAGTTACAGACCTAAAGATAGGGAAATTATTCTGGATTATTCAAGTGAGCACAATATAATCACATGAACTCTTAATAAAAGCAGGAGAAAGAGGCAGAAAGGCAGCTCAGAAATACGCAGTGACAGAAGAGGCAAGAGAGATCCAAAGCATGAGAAGGACTCAACCTGCCATTACTGGCTTTGATGACGGAAGGGGGCTGAGCCCAAGAATGTGGTGGCCTCTTAAAGTTGGGAATGGCTCTCAGCTGGCAGCCAGTAAGGAAACAGGTATCTTAATCCTACAACCTCAGGGAACTGAATTCTGTCAGTGACCTGAATGAGTAGGAAATAGATCTTCCCCTGGAACCTCCACAAAGTAATGTAGCCCTGCTGACACCTGTATTTTAGCCCAGCAAGACCCGTGTTAGACTTCCGACTTACAGAACTGTAACATGATAAATCTGAGTTGTTTTAAGCAGCTAAATTTGTGATAATTAGTTTCACCAGGAACAGAACACTAGTATAATGGCCCTTACCTGAACATTTTCATTTGTATCTTCTGCCATATCAAACATCAAGTTTTCAGGAGGTTCCTTCTGCCAGCCCCTCGCAAAGACTGTTCATTCCATGTGGGGTTCCCTTCCTCTGCCTAGAGGTCTTCCTCATCATTGAAATCCCAGCCCCTGGGGCCTTGGCTTTATGAAGACTTCCTGAAACTGAATGCTTGCTCTCTTCTGTCCCTCTACACGCACTCCTCAGACCTGTTACTGTCCCTATATGTTCTTCTTCTTGATAACAACCATATATACCATTTATTGAGTGCTTAATATGTGCCAGGCATTGTTTCAATCAGGCAATACAGCCCACTGGACAATCACCCAGGCTCTACAGCCAGATTGCCAGGGGAAATCTGGTTCTGCAACTTATTAGTGGTGTGATCCCTGGGCATGTTCTTTAACCTCTTTGTGCCTCAATTTTCCCATGTGTAAAATAGGGATACTACTACTACTACTACCTAGTTCATAGGGTTATTGTACAGATTAAATGTAACATACCTGGGGTATGCTAAACTCTAAACAGATATTAGTTTCTGATTTGTTCATAATTCCTTACCCACTATTCCAAAATCCAAAAAACTCTAAGAACAAAAGGCTTCTTTGTAATCCTTTTGGCAGCAAAACCTGATCTTAAACAAAACAAGGCCTTTTCTGGTCTTTCCTAATCCTTACTGAGTGTGACTATTCATACATTTTGCTGCAGAAATCTGAATGTGGCTGATTACGGAGCCCACTAAAGGTGTTATGTAACATCTTGTATGTACACCTTGTTAACTTTATAAAATCTGAAAAATTCGAAATGCTGAAACACAGCTGGCCCCAAGGGTTTTAGATAAGGGCATGCAGACCTCTACTGCTATTTTTACAGGTATTGACTCATTTCTCCCTCATCACAATTCTGAGAAGTAAGATACTCTTATGCTCGCTAATTTACAAAGGAGGAAGCCAAAGCAAAAAATGTCTAAATGACGTCTATAGGCCATATGGCTCTAGGTGGAAAAAGCCAGGATCTGGACCCAGGCAGTCAGGTTCCAGCTGTCTAAGCTTTTAAATAATTAGGTGAAACTGTCCCTCACACTGCTTCTAAGCATGCCCCAAAGAGAACAAGACTTTCCCTGTCCCCCTCACCCCCACCCCAATAACTGGTCTCTTTGCTGAGTGCAAACTAGAAATAAATACAAGCTTCCTATTGCTTACAGAATTAGCTTTCATCTATCAACTGTTCACTTGCTGGGATTGTTGGATTAAGAATAAGACCTTCCAAATCAGGTTTCAAAGAACTTCCATTATTTATAGCTTGATTCTTTAATCTATAATTAAATATACAGTATGATACCCTTATGTCTGAGCTGTCTCGAAGGTCATTCAGAAAACACAATTTTAGGCAATTATACAAGCCACAAAGTCATGAAGTGTCCAGATTAGAGAGTCCTATCATTGGAACCCTCACTGAGTTTATTTCAAAGGCCTGCTAGTTTCAGAGGCACAAAGGGTTCAGTGTGACTCCTGGTGGCGAAGACAAGCAATTTTAGCAATTCTTCTTTTGGTGGCAACAGAACCTATCAATTAAGGTAAAATCTGACAGTTTGCTTCAAGCCTCAACAGCTAGCAGGGTTCTATATATTGTTTAGTATCACATTTCCTACTTGATCCCTAATAAGAGGTCTAGTAATTTGCCTTATTCAGTATGTATTTACCTTTCTTCATCTCATTTAGCAAGCATTTATTGAGTGTCTGCTGTGGGCCAGGTGCTCTAGGGAAATGGACATTTTATTGGAGAAGAGAGACAAGAAACAAGATAAACAAGTAAATAATGTCAGATGGTGATAGAGCTATGGAAAAAAATGACGCAGGGAAAAAGGAATTTTTGAAAAGGTAGTCAAGGGAGAGTCATCGCTGAGGAGGTGACATTTGAGCAAAGATATAAAAGAGGAGAAGGAATCAGATTTCTGACAACCTGGAGAGCAGTGATCCAAACAAAGGAAACGGCCAAGGTGAAAGGTCCTGAGGCTGGAGGACACCAGGCAGGTTGGAGGAAAAGAAAGGAGTCTGGCACGGCTGGAGAGAGCAAGGTGACAGTAGTAGGAGATAAGAGGGGCAACAGGGGCCTGACTGAGTGAGCCCTTTTTGGGCCTTGTAAAGACTTTGACTTTGAATCTGAGTGAGACAGGAGCCATGAGAGGGTTGTGAACGGAAGGGTGACAGACTGTGACTTGGATGTTAACAGAATCACTCTGGCTCTTATGAGGACTGACTAGAGGCTGAAGAGGCTACTGCAATAGTCCCAGTGAGATGGTGGTGGTAGCAGCAGAATTGATGAGAAGTGGCAGTGTTATGGATAAAATCTGAAGATGGAGTAAATGGGATTTGCTGACAGATAAATTGAGAGTGAAAGAGGAGTTAAGAGTGATTCTAGGTTTGTGGCCTGATCACCTGGAAGGATGGAGACAGCATCAACTAAGATGGGAGCACCGTGAGAAAGCAGGCTTTGAGGGAAGAAGAGGAAGTCAATTTTGGAGACAGTCAGTCTCAGAGGCCTATTAGACACCTACTTACATTCTGTGAATAATAATATTAATTTAAAAAATAAGACCAGTCATATAACCTTTACTATGTGCTACATACCATTTTAATCATTTAACTTATTTAATCCACAAACCAGCACTAAGGGGTGGGACTTATTATTACCCTCTCATTTTCCAGATGAGGAAATGGAAGCACAGAGAAGTTAAGTAACTTTCCAAAGGTCACACAGCTGGAAGCTGGCAGAGCCAGGCACTGATCCTAGCCAACTTACAACACTAGCTCTCTATGAAGAGGAACAGAGGGGTAAGATCTTACAGGGTGACAAGGATGCTCCTTTACACATGGTGAGCAGGGAGGGCTTCCCTGAGGAAGTGACATTTGAGCAGAGACCTGAAGGAAGGGAGGTAGCAAGCCATGCTGACATCTGTGGGAAGGGTACTTCAGGGAGTGGGAACAACATGTACAAAGGCTCTGAGGTGGGCACGAGCTTTTGACATACTAGATCATGGCTACCCTGAGTTCATCCAGTTCCCACCTCTGAGGATATGAATGTGTTCTCCCTGCCAGGAGTGCCCTTCTCCCTTCTGGCACCTGATGAACCCTTTATCACACCATTAAGTATCAAGTTCCAGCATCTCCCAGGCAGAATTAAGTCTTCCTCTGTGTGATCCAATGTGCCAAATAATCCATCTGCCCTTGCAAAGCTGTTCTTGTTTCTGGGTCTTCAACCTCATACTTCTCTGCCCTGTTCTAACTGTGTGACCTTGAGCATGTTGCTTACCCTCTCAGGGTCTGTTTCTGCATCTGTAAAATGGGGGATATTTCACTCTCAAAGCAAAACATCCTGAAAATACATCTATTCTCAAAGGCTTTTGTAAGGATTAAATATTAATATATGTAAAGGATTTAGAAAAATATCTCCGGCACATGGTAGACACTCAAGAAATGTTAGCTATTAGTTAGTGTGTTATCCTTCTTCCTCTCTAAGCCCCTCTCCTCAACTTTATGTATCACTGAGACCTATACTATTTGGCTCCCATTACCTCTCAGATCTCACCTCCTATCCCTCCCTCCACTCAGCTCCAGCCATACTGGCCTCCTTCGTGTTGCCTTGAACATGCCAGGCACAATCCCACCTCAGGGCCTTTGCACCGGGTGTTCCTTTTTCCTATACTCTTCCACTAGACATTATGGCTCCCTCCCCGACCTCCTTCAGGCCTTAATTCAAGAGTCGCCTTCTAAGTGAGGCCTGCCCTGTGCTTAAGATTTCAACCACCCTAATATGCTATTCCTACCTTCCCTACTTCATTTTTCTTCCTTAGCACTTGTCTAACATACCATATAATTCTACTTGTTTTATTTATATAGTCAGTTGCCTCCACTTTTAGCAAACGTCTGTTCCACAAGGGCAGGAATTTCCACCTGCTTTGTTCCTTCCCACATTCCTAGCACCTAGAAGAGTACCTCGTACTCAGTAAGTGCTCAGTGTTTGTTGAGTGAACAGTTCCAACTAACTAGATAGCCTCTTAACTAACTCTCATATGCCCTCTTCATCTACATCTGCCTCCCACACTGATTTGTCTGAAATTATATTTTTCCCATTCATTCATGCAATAAATTCCTATCAAACACCTACTCTATACTGGGTATATTTTTAGGTGCTGGAGATCTACCAGTGACTAAGCAGACAAAAACTGTAAGTCCTCATGGGACTCCCATTCTAATGGGGAGAGACAACACAATAAACTGGTAAACTATAGTGTGACCATTAATGATAAAGGGCAAAGGGACAAATAAAGCAGAGATGGGGCCCAAGTCCTGCTAGGCGTGCAGGTTCAGATGGTCAGGGATGGGTTGACAATTGAACAGAGCCAAGAAAGGAACCATGCAGAGCTCAGGGGTAGAGTGTTCTGGGTAGAAACAATAGCCAATGTAAAGCCCTGGAGGGCTAGATCACAACTGGTGTATTTGAGGACAAGTGAGGAGGTCAGTGTGGCTGGAACAGAGTTGGGGTGTAGGAGTCAGGGCCAGAGAGATTATTTGTTTTATTATTAACTCACGGGTATTCTTTATTTACACTGGAGAGGATTCTAGTTCGGATCCCATTTTACAAATGAGGAAACAGGTGCAGAGAGAAAGTGGTTAAAACAATAAGGTCACACAGCTTCTGGGATTGGGGGTAAATGGAAGCTGAGACAAGCTGTGCAATGGAGACAGCTCTACAGGCAGGAGGAACAGCAAAAACAAAAGCTTGAAGATGGAACTAATTTGGTTTTTAAGGAGTGGGGCCTCACATGTGATGGGATGAGGTGAGAGAGGGGAGCCTTAAAAATTCTCCTGTGTTCTGAGGGGCACCCTAACCTGATGCTTACTGGGTCACTTTTGAGTAAGGTATTTAATCTCCCTATGCTGAAGTTTCCTCAGTACCTATCTAATAGGGTTGTAGTGAAGATTAAATGAGCTCATTAATATAAAGCACTCTGACTGGTACATAGTAGGTACCCAATAAATGTTAGTTCCTATTAGCATTACCACTATCACTCATGTATTCATTTATTGCAGTGAGGCAGAACATCTTAATGGTTAACAATGTGCATGAGGGTGTGTGTTCTAGAGTAAAAAAAGACCTGGATTCAACAAGCACACAAGCTGATCCACTATTAAGAAGAAGGAAGAAGGTCAGGGAAGACCATGGCTGATCCACCACAAGGAAAAAAGGGGAGAAATAAAAGTACATAGGCTGACCCTCCTCTAGAGGAGGGATTACAAAGCACTGAACTCACAGGAGGGAAAGTGTGAATGCAAAGACGCAGGTAGCAGGAAGGCTAATGAATAGATCCATTGCAAAGCTGTGGTGGTAGTGTAAAGGCTCATCTTGATTTTCTGGGGCCAAGGGGAGCAGAAAAGCACATTGACTCCTGCACAATAGTGGAGAGAGAGAAAGCCATCACACAGACTGACTAAAAGGAGAGGGGTCAAGGCCATGGACTGGACTACTGAAAACGGGGAGGATATAAAGCACTAAATTGATCCACTATTAAAAGGAAAAGAAAAGCCCAAGGACTGGAGCATCAGTCTATAAAAAAGGGAAGATAGGGCAATGGGCTGGTAACTAGAGGGATGTGAATATAAGCATGTACTGATACACGGTAAAATGGTGTGTGCATGATAAAGCCATAGACTGATGCCCTGGAAGACTGGAGGAGGCAAGAATACAAATTCACAGATTTATTTACTGTTAAAGCGGAGGGTACAACACGGATTGATTCACTCACTACAAGGAACAGGAGGGGTGGAACAAACAAGGCCACAGACGGGGTCCCTGAAAGTTGAGGACCTATAGTCAAGAAGTTGGACAATGCCAGAGACTAGTCCCCTCTAAGTGGGGGTGGGGGCAAGACCATGGACGAGTCCACTGCAAGGTGGGGTGGGGAGAAATATAAGCGCGCAGACCGATCCACTATAAAACAGGAAGGGGGGTTAGGCCACGGTCAGATCAAGGGAGGACATAATGCCACAGGCAAGTCCACTAGCTGTGATGGTGGCGGTGGGGAGTCGAACACCAGTAGGCCATGGGCCAAGCCACATCCCTTGCGCGGGGGCGGGAAGGATACGTGGGGTCATGGACACTGTCCTCCACCTTCCAGGCCCCGACTCACCTGTGCGTAGCGCACCGGCGGTGTTGGCAGCTCCGGGGGGCGGGGGCTCCATGCGCCGCC